AAGAGTCTGAGGTTGCTGTGAGCTGTGATGCCATGGCACTCTACCAAGGATGACATACTGAGACTCTGTCTCAAAAAAAAAAAAGAAAGTAAGTATGAATACAGTGGTCATATATAGGTTTGTGAACAACACAATACAGATTTGACTTTTTTGTTTGTTTGTTTTGAGACAGAGTCTCACTTTGTTACCCTTGGTAGAATGCTGTGGCATCATAGCTCACAGCAACCTCCAACTCTCGGGCTCAAGCGATTCTCTTACCTCAGCCTCCCAAGTAGCTGGGACTATAGGCAGCTACCACAACGCCCAACTATTCTTAGAGAGGGAGGTCTTGCTCTGGCTCAGGCTGGTCTCAAACCTGTGAGCTCAGGGCAGTCCACCTGCCTCAGCCTACAGGTTTGATTCTCATTAAAATTCAGCTCAGGGGAAGAAAAATGCTCAAGTTACTAGGAGTACCACAGAGTATTTACTCCTATGTTCAGTTGCCTGTGTGTGGGCCCCTCCTTTGGCATTTTACAGTATGCAAAGAATTGGGGCTCTAAAGGTGTGTGGAACCATGTAAACAGTCATTGACTTGGTATGTTTTTGCATACTTGGAGAAACCTTAAATCCTTCCATGTGGAGATTCTGGTTTGATCACTCTAAGTCAGGGGTGTCTAGTATGCAGGCCTTTGGGCCACATGCTGATTATCTGAGGACTGTTCTGCTTATCTTTGGTATCAAATATCAAGGAAAGTATGCACTTAAGTTTTTTTTTTTTATTTAATGTTTGTATATTTAATGTGCAGCCCAAGACAACTCTTATTTTTCCATTTTGAGGGAGAGAAGAAAAAAGGTTAGACACCCATACTCTAAGTGCAGCCTAAGAATTTTCTCTTTTGTTTTTGTTCTTAGACAAGCATGGCACTTGATTCTGGAGCTAGAAGCCCTTTTACTGTACACTGAGAAATTTGCTCTGGAGACATGAAGTAGATGTTAACATATACATGCCTGACCAGAATCTTGCATGTGCTGACTGTACAGTATGATTGTAACCTGATGGGGAGACATCTTCTCATTGTTATTTCTCCTCCAGGTTGTCATCCTTCAGAATAATGGCAGGAAGCATGCTATGGCTCCAGGAAGGAAGAAAGGGGGACAAAAATCTCTAGCTCCTATGTTTGCTGAGAAATTAATATCACCAAGCAGGAAAGGAGCCATGTGGGCCAAGCAGGCACAGGACAGGAGGAGTGCCAAGCTTGAGAACCATGAGAACTTTGAAGAGAATGAAGATGATAACAGTGAGTTAGATGAGCTCAAGGAAGGTAAAGAATCCTCTTCCAGGTGGTTCCTGGCTAGTGCCTGTAAAGTGATAAGAGTCTGCCACCCTGCATGCCATTCTACAGTGCTTGGGGACAGGTTCTCTGAAATTACATTCTTCTGAAAGTTGCCTTGGCAATCTCTGGCTGAGTCTTCAGTTTGAGCTTCCAGTCTCAGTGGCCATTTGGTCTCTGCTGTCTATATGACCTGAATCAGAGGTTTTCTCTTTGAATATTATTATACATTGGTTATTTCTATCATTGTGCTTATAAGCCAGGCTGGGAGATCATCCCACAAACTTAATTTTCTTTTTTTCTTTTTTTTTTTTGAGACAGAGCCTCAAGCTGTCCCCCTGGGCAGAGTGCTGTGGCATTACAGCTCACAGCAACCTCCAACTCCTGGGCTCAAGCAAGTCTCCTGCCTCCGCCTCCCAAGTAGCT